GTATCACCACTGTGGAACCCAGCAGTGTCCCATTGGTCCAGTCCTTCTGCTCTTCATGATGGTGAGGGTCCTGAAAAACATAGCCTCTAATGGATTAATATATGTTCAGGAGATGCCCAGGCACCTCCCCTGAGGGTGGGGAGGAAGCTTTGCAGTCTTTTGGGACAGGCACTGGATTTGTTGCCTCATTTGGTTCACGTGCAGTCCTCTGGTGGTAGAGAAGGCCTCAGGAATAGTTGGGGGTGGCTTTGGGGATCTTTGATGGTTTATGACCCCCTTATCAGCTGCCTTTCATGTGAGTGTCCCATGTGTACATGGTCTTCCCAGAGCAGGGGTGTTCACACCTTTGGTTTGGTGTGGAGAGATTTCACCATCACACACCCAAAACCCTTCTCCACCACCCCCTGAGACCAGCTAGCGCTGATTCTTAACACAAATAAATTCTTTCCTGAGCCTTGTTTACTTCTCCTCAGACTTGAGATGACTAGACAGGAGTCTTAGCTCAAGTCCCCAGTCACAGTCCAAATTCCAGTCAGGAGACATTGGAAGGGGAGGATGCCTCGGTGGTCACAGACAGGCAGTTGCTTCTTTGCAGTTTGACAAAAAGTCTGGATTTTGACGATGTTCAAGACATTACTGACGTTTCAACCTATCGCAGTTGCAATGGTACTTTAGCTGAGAACCTTTGACTGTTGTCTAGAGTGCAGTATAAATATATTCAACAGTCCATAATACCTTAAATTGCTGCCTTCCTATTCTTCTGTTCCTTTCCTAATAAACAAAGAGACAGTAGATCTGCTGTCTCCCTGTTTTAGTAGTTGTTTTAAGGGTCATTAATGGCTGTTTTTTTGAACTGGTACAGAAACCCACTTCGTTCTGTTCCTTCCTGTACTGCAAAAAGTTATTTGAGGATTTTCTGTCATTTCCTCACCCACCCACATTAGCCAGTTGATTGTAGTTCAGTTACAGTAGATGGACAGAAAGCAAAAGCTGACCTGTCCAAAATGGGAGATAAAAGGGAATATCCTATGCTCAGATGTGGAAGCCAGTTGGCAGCAGCTGCATTAAATTTTTTTCTCAGTACTTCAGGGGAAAAAAAATTCCTATGAAAAATCAAGTATGCTAAAAAGAAAAAGCAAAAAGCTTAAGGAGTGATAAGTAAATATGACTGAGGCTGCAACACACTTCTGGTACATTTTATCGTGCAGGATCTCTAAGGACAGTTGAATAACATATCTACCTTATCTTTAAATATAACCAGTATAGATGACCCTTAGGCCATGACTTGAAAATTACAGTCCTCTACAAAAATATTATTACTAGCATTAAATATACTGCCAGATGTTCATCGCTCTATACTGCAGCATAAGACCAGGAGACAAGAAAGTAAGTTTTAATAAATGTTTGCTGCTGCTGTCCTGTAACCTCAATCATCTTTTCCTTTTGTTTGCTTACAGAATGTATATGCTTTACTCACACACATCTTTTCTGTTCCATAAAAGCAAATCAGATTTTTCAGGGCAAAACTGCTGTATGAACAGTGGGGAAAAAAGCGATTTCCATATTTGTAATCTCCTCTTTTGTTTTCTCTTACAATACTGGTTACCGTAAAAGCTGAATAGCTGATGGATTAAAAAAAAAAAGTAGAAACAAGGCTGTTGTTTTTGGCAGTATGTTTTTGTAAACAAGTGACCTAAATTGAAGCAGAAATTCTAACGGGAAAAAGACAGAGAACCAGAAGACTTTAAAATACAGCACAGAGCAGAGTCCCCACCAGATGGTATTTTTAATAAATTTATCAAGCGGATATAAAAGGTGATAATGAACATTCAAAATAGGGAGTGGCAGACCCCCTAGAGAAAAGAAACAGTATGGCATATTCTGCACACTTCAATTAGTTTGAGTCACTTTCTAATTAGCTGATGTAGGGAAGACCACAGAATTATGTTAAAAACACACCAAGACAATTTCTGTGTGGTTGTTAAGAAGTTTGACTAATCAGGGTAGCATCTTCATAGGAGGTCATGGATTAGTGCAGAAATCTAGATGTGAGAAGGAGCGGGATGATGCTCAGAGGGCATGCAGGCAAAATAGTGGATGAACTGAGCTGTACTGCATTCAGTTAATACCTCACACTGCTTGGAGTGTGTCTGGAATATGCCATGGAGCTTCAACATGAACACTGATTTTGACATGTCATCTTTTACTCATTTTTTTTAATCAAGATTTTAATAGCTTCCTCTTCTTACAAAAAGCAGCCATATGTAGAAGATGCTTTAAAGCCTATATAAAATGGATACTCAAAGAAGTTCCCTTACTCCTGGAGAGGAGGGTAAGAAAAGGAAGTCAAGGCAAACTTTATTTCAATGCTAGTACTTTTAGTTTGCATTGTTAGTCTTTGTTTTATTCAGATTGTTCCCAGTGAAGTACTTCTAATGTCTACCACCTGCTCCCCTACAAGAATCTGGGAATTGTTGAATGCCTCTCTTCAGTAGGGGATATGATAGGGGAATCAAGAGATTTCTGGAATAATAATGTACTGGGTTTAGTAATTTTTTTATGAGCAAACAGAGATGGTAGTACATTTGATAGCACAGTAGATTTTTCAGAAATGGTTGCTTTTCCACTGCCTTGGATTATTACTTGGCAACAAGCTTGCACTTTTTCCTCCCAGGGTGTGTTTTACGGTGTTTTGGTTCATTGGTGGTTGTCCTAAGATTATGCTCCTGACACCAGTAGCCCACTTAAAACACGGAATCCCAGCTCTTTGTGGAAAATTATCTCTTTTTTGCGTGCTGGAGACTCATACAATAGCTCTGAAGTTTCACATAGCTATGTTTCAGTCATTTTCAGATGTTGTAGTATTTTAATACATATTTTACAGACAGCTATTAAAAGTGTGTGATAAAGTTATCCGTTTACAGCAGGCTTAAAATGGTACAGGTTGTTTGTCCTTTATCAGAGGATGATACACAAAATCTCGGATTCTTTTTTAATACAGCCTGTGGTGAAAGAGTTCTTGTCATTTAGATGAACAGTCAGTGCTTCTAACATTTTCCCTCCAAAAAACAAAGGCTCAACAGGCAGTCTTGATTTTCACATGTTCAGAGGGCATGTTTTTCAGCCTTAATTTTAATTTTTTGATTGAGAGAGGGAATAGAGAGAGTTTTAGAAGCTGAGGAGGTTAGCTAGAAACTGAGCTTTTTAGGAAAGTGCTGGACGTGATTGGGGCATATAGCTTGGGGCATAAACCTAATAGTTTTGGGGGTTTTATGTTATCTGTCGTCTTGCTGGAAGGTGACATACAAGCGTTGAAGCACTTGTAGAAGAGTGCTGGAAGAGTACCTCCTTACAGTGTGTTCCCAGAGGAGCTGCTGTTGTCTTAATCTTTGAAATTGCTGAAATTATGTCAAGTTCTAACTATATGATGAATTCTGTTTGATTTGAAAGGAGGGAGTAAACTACTTAGCATGGGATGTAAATCAGATTAAGCAGGACTAAGTGAGTATAAGAAGAGCATTCCTCTCCTTGGAAAGTTTTCTAGAAACCAACACTGAAGTTACATCCTTTGCTAAAGAATAACAATTCTGAACACTACACTTTTTTTTTATTGCCCAGTACCTTCTGTTCCTCTACTTCTAAAAATGCCTAGTAAAAGGTTATATCACCTTTTATATAATTTGGTTTCTAACAGCAGTTTCCAGTCTAGAGTGTTCAGTTCTGGATGTTCTAGGGAGAAGGAAGAACTGAAGTTAGATGATGCTAATGCATAGACCACAGTGTTGGATATGTACACTGATTGCAAGAGGGGCTGTAGAGGTGAAAGAGTTCATTATAGATGTTGCAGCATAAGGTAGCAGTTTAGCACTGGCCTGTGCAATTAGAATTGTAATCTGCCTTTTTTTTTTTAATTAAACTCCCTCCTTCCATTTTCCCAGGAATGCTTTTACTAATTTGAAAATTCTTTGAGTTTCCTAACTTGCTTGTTTTCCCTGTAATAATATTCTAGTAACTGTATATCAGGTGAATGAAAGAGGGCAAATTTGATATTTGCAGTAGTGCCTTCAGCTTTCTTTGGTATAACAGTACTGCATACTGACATTTTTTATGACTGCTTATAGGATAGAAGAAAGAATTATCCAGCAAGGATCTTTGATGACATTAATGGGGAGAGTATAATTCCATCACTCTCTCCTATAGGGAAATCATTATTCTGTGTTCTGGCCCTCCTTTTTTCAAGAGGATGGGTTCAAAGTAGTTTATTTTATATTCTGCTGGGATATTATAGGTTTTTTTGTGGCATTCAGTCATACATTTTTCCTGTCTCTTGGCTGAATGAGAAATACTTCTACTTTGCTGTTCCTTTGTCTTACAGACCTATTGGTCTCTCCTTTTCTCTTGTAGTCCAGTACTGATATTGAAGGATTTTATAAATATTTTTTAAAAATTTCATTTTTAAGGTTGGGGTGCAATTTCTTATCACAGTCAGAGAGACTGTCAGAGGTACCAACAGGTACATGTTGAGAATAGTCTCCTGAGGTGTGAGACTTCAAGCCCTAGTTTTGAAGAATTTGAGTCCTGACTTCCTACAGCCCAGATCAGTGCTCTAAATTATCTCCCAATTTTTTCTTTGTCTCTATTCATTTGTTCATTTGGCAGTAGAGAGGGAAGTTTCATCATGAAAACGGGAAGAAATTGTTTTAAAATTCCTAAACTTTTGCTGGACAAGATGTTTTTTTCCCAGTTGTATTAAAAGAGTGCTTTCATATCACCAAGACTGAAATCCATCTGTTAGTTTACCAAGCTATTCTGGGATCAATGCTTTAAAAGTTATCTGTACCACTTGTTCATAGTTCATGTTATATGAGTTAAATTTCCTTCTGTTGACCATACTTTGAATTTTCTCTTTTTTAGCCAATCCTTTCCCAGCCATAAAGTCCACTGGTATCTGAACTGTTTTCTGACTGTATTTCTGTCATCTTTATGTTTTTAATTCACAGTTCCCACTGAAAATGTTGCAACAATTGCAGACTGTGCCAGTGTGATTGAGGGTGTAAGTCGCAGTCGTAATGCCTTATTGAATGGAGACACAAAAAACTATGACTGGGATTCAGGATACACATGCCATCAGCTTGGGAGCGGTGCTATTGTAGTACAGCTAGCACAGCCCTACATGATTGGATCAATACGGTAAGAAGGTTTATTTTTCTCTAAATTAAAGGCCGCAGTGAAACTTTTAATAGAATATATGACATTTGGAAACAACATCAATTAGGGGACTGGTTTAGTCGTTGTGATTTGGCTTCTTACTTCAGTAGAATAGGTGTGTTAAAAAATTAAATGTGTGAATTATTTGTTGAGATACAGCAGTGCAATTCCTGAAAATGTTGCATTACAGTGGCATAATAATAGTAACAGTCAAATTGTAAGATTAAAGTTATATACTTATTTTAAAATAGAATTTAATTTCTGTCTCACTTTTGGTTAAGTAGGTGCAATTCCTCTTATCCACTTCATTGTGAAAACAATTTTATTGAACAAAATCATCACCTCCAGTCAGCCAGATTTCCTTTTCACTATATAATTAGTGCTAGTTCTTACTTGAACATGAACGGTATAATAAAGGTTATTAGTCAGGTCAGTAACCTGACTATTCCTTTACAGTGCTAGATTAATGAATGTGTTTAGATTTGGATTGAAGTTCATTGGGCTCCTTCTACAGTGAATGTCTGTATACATATGAAGATCAAACTTTTGGCTAACATAGAGACTTAGGAAATAGATTGGAGAGTGGGATTTTTCAGAGGTGAAGACAAAAATAATCTTGCAAACTTCAGATTCTTACTATGAGTGTTTGTGGTTCTTGTTTCATAAAATCGGCATGCAAAACCTTGTCTTTATGGCATCATGTTCTTTGTAAATTTAGAATATGTAGTCAGGGATGTAATTTGTATGCTCTGTGGCAATGAAAAAAAGGGAAAGATTTCTGAAGTTCGGAGTACCAGTGAGCAAAGGTTGAAACCCCAGGTGAGTATGGCTTGCAGCAGAGATCACGCACATAGGTACGTATTTCTAGGAGCTCAGTGGGGTCTGCCTGTTAGAGCTGCCTCTTCAAACTGACTGATGAGCCAAGTGAGACTTGGAAGCTCTTTTGTAACTTCATCATTTCTGTTTTGTGTGGTTTGGGTTTGGCCTTTGGCATTGTTATGATGGATGTAAAACTTTTAAGATAAAGTTCAAAATCAAACATCCAGGCATATCCGTAACCTAACAAAAGTAGTGTTTTATCTACGTGCTAGCTATAGATGTTATGCATAATCCAGGTTTGGCTTTGTTCTTGCTGAAACAAGTTGAATAAGTGTATTTGGAAACTTTCCACACTCAGTGTTTTATGCCTTTCAGTTTGATGTTTTTAACGTTCAATTAAGTATTGCATCTCAATTAGAAAACCAGGAAAATGCACTATTAACATTTCTTAAAATAGATAAATGAAACGTACTTATATCATTTTCCTGCCACTGTAAACTTAAAGCAGCAAAGGCTTTGACCATATGAAGGAGTAAGACAATCACCAATATTCATAGTTTCTCAGTTCATAATCTGTCTTCCTATCTTACAATTCAGTTGGTGAATTGTATCATATTTTCCAGTCAGTGAAGAAAGTCTGACTTTCCTATATTCAATACTATGCTAGTGTTTATTCTTAAGAGAAGATTTTTAATAAATCTTATTATTAAATAGTGAGTTGGGTGAACTAGACTTTTTTTTTAGTTGCCAAGAAATGATAATTATATAATCAGCAAGGGTGTAGAGCAAATTAAAAAAAATAACCCAAACATTACACAATTTAAAACTAATAGGCATTTAGTGATTTATGTGGTATTGCATTGTACAGCTACAAGATGAGAATCTCATCTTTCTCTGTCAGTTTTCCTGCATGTATAGTACAAACCAGATGAATAGCTTACTTTAAGAAAACAATGATGTTATCATCTGGGATATCTTTTGACAGAGGAGGCTACCTGCATTGCCTAGAGGCAGAAATCTGCCTGTGGGTTTAGATTTTAAATGAAGAATTAGGAATTAAAGTACATATCTTTTTAGTTCAGAAACACAAATGTGCCGTTGAATATATTTGTTTCAAAGAGGGTAAATACATGAGCCTTTGAAAACAGAGTGGTATCTGCTTTTAGTCTGTAGAAATCAGAATACCACTGGTGAGAGGCTCCAAGACAGAATGTGTTACCATGACAACTAAATTCTGAGTATGAAAAAAAACAGAAGAACTCTTGGTGCTCAAATATGCCTTGGAAATGTACAGAGAGTTAAATGTTTCAAGAGTATATATTTGTGTGCATGCTTTCTGACAAAGTCATTCATTGTCCTAGAATCTTAGCACCCTTCACGTTGGAAGGCACTTGAGGAAGAAGACATCTAACCCAGCTTGTTTTGCAAAGGAGTGTAATCTATGAAAAAAGAACATACTACTCAGGGCTTTATGCACTCAGGTCTTGAAAACCTCCAAGGAAGGAAATTCCACAACTTCTCTGGGTAGCCCATGATAACCTGCTCTTAGGTATTGGCAAGTGCTGTGAAGTTCCTTCCCAACCCTAGGCTTTCTTAGGCTAAAGAAGCCAATTTCCACAGCCTCACAGTGTGTGTGCTCCAACCTCATGGCCATTCTGATGGTCCTCTGCTGTAATTGTTCAGATCTGTCACTTGTATTTGGATCCAAAACGGTACTCAGTATGCCAGGTGTGATCTAACAAGTCTCAAGTAGAGGAGAATCATCTCTTTTCATTGTTTAGCTGGCTCAGTTCCTGTTGCTACAGCTCCACATGCTTCATTGCTGAGAAGGCACATAGGCAACTTATGGTATCTTCTGTTCAATTTGACTCAGGAATGCTATGGGAGACTGTGTTGAAAGTTTGTTAATATTGAATACTTTTTCAGGTATTTGTATATAAATTTGGAGCTCTTGACTTACATATCAAAATTTACTCAGAAATTCTGAAAAGATGTAGTGACAGTCAGTGCTCAGTAGTATTTTGTAATAGGGAAGACTTGGAAAACATGAAGGTTGGACTAGATGACCTTTAAAAGTCCCTTTCAACCCAAACTGTTCTATGATTCTGTGATTTTTTTAAAAAAATAATTGTAACTAAATATTGTCTTTTAGATTATAAAAATTTTTAAAAATAATTCAAGAGGTTTATTCTTTTATTAATACTCAGAACAGCTTACAAGATATTTGGAACAGTTAACAGAGAAAATGCTAGGTTAGGTAGTTTTTCCACATAGTTGCCTGTCTGGGCGCAAAATAACCTTCTTTTCTTCTGTGAAAAGACCCTTTCTTATCAATGACAGTAGAAGTATTTAATTAGGAAGAGAAAGCGATTGCTGTGTGCAACATACTAAACATACTTTAACTAATGGCTAAAACTTTAATATTGAAATGGCTGCCACATCACAATAACTCTCTAACTCTCCCTGCATTTATCTGGAAGAGAAATATAATACTATTACACTATAGTCTTTGCCTGATTTTTCCTATGAATTTAAAAAAAAGAAAGAAAACAAAACATAAAATGGGATTTGTTATAGTGTGGAGGGAGACAGAATTATTCTGTAACGGTGATTTTTTTGTTAGAATAAATGGAAATATTTTGCATCTTTAGAAAAGTACATTAACCACTTATCCAAGTTTAATCTATTTGAAGACTTTATTGCTAATATGATAGCTTTTCATATTCAGAGTAATTCTTAAATTAGCAAACAATATAAATGAATTTTCGCTTGTACCATCATAATGTACATCTCTTATGCTTTCTAATTTTCCATAACACTTCTGCTTAGGAAGCTTTTCTTTCTTTGCTGCTCCTTTTCTGTGCTTGTCTGACTTGAGAGTGAAATCATAGCTCAGAATGAATGATCATAGGAACACTTAGCAGATGTGCAGGAATTTTATCTCCTCTGTAAGATCCTGAAGGACTGGTTTCTTGCAGGATAACTACTGAAACATAAATATCTGCACAAAACTGAAGAGGTTTATAGACATCCAGAGGCAAAAATGCCACAAATATTGTATAAGAAAACTCCTCCCGTGTGGTTTTGGGTTTTCTTTCTTTTTCTTCATCTTTCAAGAAGTGTCGCTACCTCATGTTTTAATTTCTGTCTTTTGGGTTTCTAAGGTGTGCAAGTGGTTTATGAACAAAGTATGATCAAATATTTATGCCATACATTTAAATAGTGACTTAATAGTATTCAGGAAAGAGGTGTCATCCTGTCAGATGCACAACTAGTAGTGTTTGGTATTATGCTAACACCTTGAGTACCTGTAGTTATACAGCAGTCTGAACTAAGAAGTGACAATCTTTTTTTACAGAAATTTAGGAATAAAAGCAAGCAGAGACAGCACAAAATGCTTGTAGAAACACAGAACATTCAATCATAGAGCAACACATAACATTTAAGGATATACTGTTTTAAAAAGGGCTACAGCATGTTTTTATGTAACAGGTAGCCAATATAATCTGTGTCCCACACCTGTAATATGAAGTTTTATTCATATTTTAAAAGCTTTTGTTTTATAAAGTGAGGCATTGTCAACATGTGATGTAAATAAAGATGTCATAATTAATTACAGGCCTAGACTCTAGATTCCCAAAGAAGAAATATGTTTAAATCTCACAGTGTTGCAGGGTGTAAGCTGGATAAATCTTCATTTGACTTTTCCTTCTTAATCCTGAGGGCAGGATTTACTAATGAGCTAATTTAGCTTTTTATTCTAATATGGAAAGTCCTAAGAACATGGGCAATTTTTCTATAAACAGATGCATTTCTAATGGATATAGACTTTTTGACTAGAATATTCTTCTTCCTGTCAATTAATATCCATCTTAGAACAACATAGCTTTTCTACAAAGGTAGCTTGGTAATTTGCCTGGAATGTATTGCAAATACTATTATACCTGGTGTAAAAAGTGGCCTTTGTGCTTAGTGTGCACATTGTCACCTGAAAGGTTTTCACTGCTTATACAGAAAGGCTTTCAAGCAGAGTAAATTCCAAATAGGTTCTTTTGTCAGTCTTCCTCCCCAGTCTTTCCTAAAAAAGCTACTGGAGAAGAAATAGCTTTTAATTTTCTTTCACAAGAACCAAAGAAAGAAAAATTCACATTTAGTATTCATGCTAAGTCACTTTGGGAAAGATTCCTCCAACTTTAATTACTCATTGTTTGCTTTGTAATAATTCTAAGCCATATGCTTTTCTAAACCTATTTAACTTGGGCTAGGTTGTTTCGAGAGAGAGCAATTATACATGTGTTTGAAAGTAACACACATGTCCTGTTAGCCTTTTGCTCTGAAGCCAAGCCAGTTGTGTTTTAATTAGAGTATTGTTAGTTGAAATTACAGTCACCAGTGTGCTTCTGATATTCAAACTCTTGATCATAGCTTTGAAAAACAAGGATCAAGGAAACGACACCGAGTCCCCATGATAAAAGGATTCTATTGAAAAGCATAATTAGCTACATTTTAATAGCCTTTTTGAAAGAAAACAAATTTATGAATGTTTTTACTTTTCCCTCTTTTTATCATTTAGAAGACTTGGTTTAAATATAAATGTTAAATCAATTCAGAATCTGTTGATTAGTAGTAGTTAACCAAATAAAGGATTGTAATCAGTAAACTTTTTTTTTAAGAAAATACGCTTTATTCCGTGTCTTCAGGATCTGGAGACCTTTGAGCTATGGAAAAGCAGAATGAGGATGATTTGATGAAGGAGAGGGGTTGAAGTTGGGGGGTTTTGTTTTGGGGTATGGGATTTTTTTGAAGTCTTTCATGGTGCCACAGGCAACTATTTTTATTTTTTACTAAGTCAGGTCTGAATCTTTTAATTTGCAAATAGACAGTTTTAACATGTTCTAAAATGCTTGTGTTAAAAATGGTTTATTTTAGCTTCTTAAAGCTATTTTTGACAGCATATTATTTTTGATAATATTAATGAGCTAGATTCAGCATCGAGGGAATTTATTTTGAATCTGCTTGTCTACTAGACCTAATTCCATTTTGAATGCTGGGATTTCAAAACATAAAAAAAAAAAGTGCTGAACTAAATTGTTTGCCTCTCTACTCATCGCTGGTGAGGCTGCACCTCAAGTACTGTGTCCAGTTTTGGGCCAAATATCTCTTACAACAGGGCAATAATCCCCATATAAAGAAAAGTAAAGAAGATACATTTGCCAAATGTGTGTTTCGGTACCTAAGGTAAATAACATCCCTGATGCTTTATGTCTTCCTCTCTGTAAGACAAGTATGGAAATCAAAGGCTATTCAATATGTTATTTAGTGCCCTTCCTGAAGAGCTGCATGTTTGTTAGAATAAGTACAGAATGAGTCCTTGAGACCTTTATGGTCTTCCTTTTTCTTCTACCTTTTCAGCAATTTGTTTAACAATTCATTGCCTTTTTTTGTCATATTCTGATGAACCAGGACTGGAAATTCCCCTTTCCCTACTCATTTTTTTTAATATATTTATTATTTCTGGGGGGGTTTTGTGGGTTTTTCTAAATATATTTATGATATATTTACCAAAACCAAGAGAATACAGTTAAGAAGACAGCTTAATCCTTTTAAATCACCCAATTCTTTTTTTCTGTCCCCTCCTAAACTGACCTGTTGAGACAGATCTTCATTTCGTGTTTAAAGCAGGCAGTGCCACATGCCAATTAAATTGAAAATAATTGGATGAATGTAATAGATTAATGTTCTTAAGATGGTTATTATAAGCCTGTAAGCCTATTACTGGCCTTGGGATAATAAGAATAGAGACACAGTAGTTTGACATGGCGGAAACAGTAAAGTTTGCTGAGTGCTAGAGGTACATTGCAAAAGAAACAGTTACATTTATAAAGGATTAAGTGGAGAAAATAAAGGACTGGCAAACTTAAGAAGCTTGGTTTGATGTTTGTTTTACTTATCATTCAACAACTTGTTCATACTTAGGTTGCTACTTTGGGACTGTGATGATCGGAGTTACAGCTACTACATTGAGGTTTCTACGAATCAGCAGCAGTGGACTATGGTGGTGGATCGCACAAAAATTTCCTGCAAGTGAGTCCAGTTTTTTTCCACTTATTTGCACAAAGTAAGAACTGTAAACTTGTTTTTCTGGTGGGTTTTTTGTTCAGTACTTATATAGGTTCCTGTGAAGAGAATGATCATTACATAACCTGTAGATTAATACAACTTTAGAGGGTAACAACTTCTAGTGTAACTGAACATCTAGACTTTCAGACCAGAATTAATTTCTTAAGAACCACATCAGTACTGGATCTTCAGATAATCAGTTGGATAATTCATTCTTAGAAACAGTCTGCCTACCATACCCTTGATTTTGTGAGCACTGGAAGTTAAACTATGTTTTTCTGGAGTTCACATGTTTATGGTGACCCCTGGTGTCAAATTGCCCTACCTTGAGAAATGTGGAAAGAGAGGGAAGAGAGTATAGTTGGTAAACAATTTTGTTAATAAAATGTCTTTCTCCCCTGTCAAAGCACTTAAATGTATTGTATGGTATTTGAAGGGAGTGGGGAGAGTGAGGGCAGGGACCAAAGCATAACAGACCAAACAGTTACCGAAGCTTGACCTTGTCTCTGTTCAAAAGCAGAGTACCTGACTAATGCATTGACCACTCTGTTTTCGAAAAGGACCCTTCCACAGAACAAACATGCTTCTTAAACAGTGATAAAGAAAGGAGAAAAACTGTTTCATTTTCGTTTGAATAATTAAATCAGGAGAAATCAGGCATGAATATTCTCCACATGTATACTCTCCATTGGCTTTTCGGCAATTTCTGCTGATGAAACCTATTCTTCTAATATGGATGAATAATTTAGTATGGGTAGCCTTCTTAAACCATGTGAATATAGTTCTAATTCCTAGCAAAGAATGACCTAGATACTGGTCATGGGACTGAAAAGACAGTCTGCAAATTTATATATTACATATCCAGAAGCCAGGTATGCTCAGAATTCAGTGAATGTTGACAGGACATGATTTCCTGACTAAGCCCCAGGGAAGCTCAGAATTATAAAAACCTTATTTATCTCCTTTTCCCCAAGTAAGTTTTCTATAAGATATACTTTCTTTCTTGGGACAAAATTGAAGTCATCCACCCCCACCCATCTTGTATTTGTGCCAACCAAAACAAAATTGATTTTACAAATTCAGAGATGCATCTCAGTTTGTCACATCAAGTAAGGGAATTATGCAGTCCTTTGTAGCAATGCTGCTGACACACATTTTTCTAAAGTTTATATTCCATCTCTTAACAAACAGTGCTACTCAAATGCTTTACAATGTGCTCTAGACACGTTGGTGAAGGAGAACTTGACACGTCCTTTCACTGTCTGTAAAGGGCAGGGTATTGATGAGCACAAAACCTGTGTTCTGCCTGCAGGTCTGGAGGAAGACTAAAGATTTAATCATTCTCAAAGACATCTCAGCGTAATAGATAAAATTCATCTTTTTGTCTGCCTCCAGCAGCGGGAGCACTAAAAGGCTGAAACCACAAAGGAGAGAGAGACACTCAAGAATCTTTGTGCATTTTTTCCTTGAACATTTTGATACTAAAAGCCTATAACAATCAAAAGAAGCACTTGCTTAAGTATGCGCAGCACAGGTGAAATTGCTGATTGACTGCCCAGTTCGAATATCTTCACACAGTGTTCAAACCACGCTTTTTTGTTTGTTTTTTTTTTTAAAGCCTTAACCTTGGGCAAATAGAGATGCATACCTGAAGTAAAGATAACTGTCTTATTGGGATATACTTCAAAATCTTGATTCAAAACACAGGTGCTCTGGAAGTTCTCAAAGCTATGGCTGCAGGAACCATTTTCATGTGAATTAGAGAACTGCATTTTGCCTAACTTCTTGCTCTGACAGATATGTGTTCAGCTGGCATAAAGCCAGTCTTTAATCTTGAAATCTGCAGACATAGAGTGTCCTAGCACTGTCTGTAACTATCTCCTCTAAACAAATACAAAGGCTGGTCATAAAGCTTGCAGAGTTCACTGCCCATCAATTTTCAGGTGATTTCTTTGCATTTGACAGTGCTTTTTCATGTTCAATTTATATCTCTTGCCCTTTATGATCAGAGAAATGGACTTTTTTCTTTTTTTGCAGTCACAGAAAACTTAATATATGTTATTTTATTTTCAGGAATTATTTGCAGAAATGCTGAAATTACTTCATCTCAAAAATTACTTTTATTGTAATGGCAGGTCGATAACTCTATGTGTCTCATATAGAAAAATAAATATTTACTATAATATCTATAAGATCAGTCAGAGCTGGACCATCCTTTTTTTTACTGAAAAATACTGAAACACAGTACTATGACCTAGAAAGCCATACTCTTAGTGCTTTAAAACAGTTGAATGTAGAATGAAAGAAACAGTATCATTCAATGACTCATGCACTGAATGAAGGTCCTCACTTAAAATTGTAAGGTAAGCTTTCAATATGGTAGTAAAGACATCTTAAGGATCTCTCTATTAAGATGAAGAGGAAAAAAATGGAACCAGTCACTGCTAGAAATGTGAAGTGACTTTTTGGGTAGTTTCTGTAATTTAAAAAAAATCTCTGATTGAAAACATGAGGGGTTTTTTCCATGAAAACAAAAAAGTTATTTTCACTTTATATAATTTTAACAGCAAAAACAAACAGAGGAGAGAGTTGGATTTTAACCAAAATTAACAGATGCTAGTAAAGTGGAGGTGGTACAGTTTTTCTGGTTTATTGTCATAGTATAAGGGTAAAGATAGTCCTGCTGGATGCAAGGGATTTCATGTTTTTTTCTGTCTGTCCTTCCTCTTAGCACTGTTACGCCGGTATTTTATGCAAACAGCACAGCTCGAGAGAAGTCTGCCTCTGAATGTCTTTTAGTCTAGTGATTCACAGACTTCCCAAGGAAAAGCAAGGATCAAACTCAAGTGCTGCGCCTGGGTTTGACTCACCGTCAGGTTTAGGCAAACAGTTAAAGATAACCTGCATTCAGTAATCTTCCTTAACCAGACTAGAGCATAAAGGGGTAGAAACCAGAGTACGCTCATCTCTTTCTTCATCGTATGTTTCTGAACGCTGCACCCGTCTCTCACCTGGATGAAACAGAACATGTCTTTTGCTGATGTGGTCCAGTTTTGCAACTATTTTTTGACTCAGCCACATCCTGATTTTTTTTGATTAATACTTTGACGTGCTATCCCAAAAAGGACTAATCCTGTATTGGTATTGAAACTGTCTTCACTTGGATAAGAAGGAGATATGTCCTTCCGTGGGACTATGATTGCCTGTTTGACAAGCGCCTCTCAGAGCAATAGTCAACTAAGAATCGTTATACATGTATTCATGTCAGGCTAAAATACCAATTCTTTCTAAAAAGTATGCTCCAAATTACATCTGATTCTCTACCAAGTTCTGGAGATGTGAGTGCAACGTAAGTGCACTCATTTGATAAGGTCTTGAAATCCTGAGTTTACCCTTTCTGGCACTAGTTCTATGTTTAATATACTGCAGTAGACTGCAGAAAAATAACTTGCTTTTCAGTGTAGGGAATGAAACTTGATGGAGTTAAAACATAGGAGAATTTCACAGGAGCCTACATTTAAAGAGACAAAATGCTTTCACAATGAGAAAATTTAGATTACTAGTAATATTTTCTATTCACTTTCCTGTCTTCAAAGATGTATAAGAGGTATTTCCTTTGCTGGCTTTTGGTCTGCCTGGTCTTGCAGTGGAGTTACAGACTTCTATGAAAGTCATTAGCCCGCTGTCTTGCAAGTGTCCTGTGAGGTTTCCAAGTAATTTTGCTCAATCTCTGGCACAAGCAGTAGGATGAACCATAAGGGTACCAAACACAGACCTCGACAGACACCTTAGATGATCAGGAAGTGGCAAACAAAACGATGAGAAAGAAAATTAAATTATGTTTAAACAGCATATATTGGTTTTGGCAGATTACTGAAGTGTGAACTTCCCCTTTAAACTATCAGTGTGCTGCTTTTGGTTGTTTTAATGGCATTTTTAATGTAGTCTTTTGTGTAAATTAATAATTCAGTGCTCAAAGGCAGGAACTGACAGGCTACTCCTAACCTTCTCTTCTTCCAGTTTTAAAAGGCTGAAGACAGAAACTGGATGTCTGTTATCTTCACAGGGGAAGCTTGTGTACCTTCCCTAAGTGCGAGCCAATTAATGCATACTGGTTGTGTAATTGACAATTTTCAGATGCTCTGTGGAGGCTTTTTTTTTTCTTTTCCACAATAAGCTGTTTCTCCCTACACAGTATGACAGTAATGAAAAACAGTCATGTTCCCTTCTATTTTTAAAAACATTTATTATAAGTGGACTCGAGCATGTTAGTGTTGAACAACAGAGACTTGCACTTGTTAGAAGAATTTGCTGACAGAGTTTGAAAGTCAAATGAAAAACAGAAGATACCAAAGGCCAGTAGGAGAGTCAGACTTCAGAGTTAATGACACTTCTGATAGAATAAACCCTGCAAAGACAAATACAAAGCAGGCTATCACAATGCTCATCAACTCAGTATCATTCTTTAAAGTTCTCCTGTGTAGTTGTTGTGAAATGGATCTAATACATTGGCAACAGGCATACCGTGTTCAATTCCCCAGTAAGAAAAAAGGATCTAATACTCTGATAGAATTTGGGAAACAATGAATATTATTTATGGATCAATAGTTCTAAGGCAGTTTGTATCACCTGTCTATATGGCTGTTTTGGGAGTTTTATGATTTTCTTGTGGGCATTACCTTATTTTCAGAAGGTTTATAACATACAGCATTATATATTGTTTAAATTTTTTTGTTATTCAGAATATATTGCTGTTTTGATAAATGTTTAAAAACATCCAAACTTAATTTCATGTTTCTATTGTTTGTTATCTTATGTAATAGCTATTTCAAATTCTGAATCTCATCTCAGTTCTGAGAATTTTTTTCTGTAGTACTTCTGCTTTAAAGAATGTTAGTGGCAAACTTGGGTTTTGATTTTTTTTTTTCTGGGTGTACTTTTGTGAAACCAGTTTAATATCTATC